AAAAAAAAAAAAAAAAAAAGAAAGAAACCTTGTCTCTACTAAAAACACAAAATTAGCTGAGTGTGGTGACACAGGTCTTTAATCCCAGCTACTTGGGAGGCAGAGGTTGTGGTGAGCCAAGATCATGCCACTGTATTCCAGTCTGGGCAACAAGAGCAAAACTCCATCTCAAAAAAAAAAGATCCAGATAACAACAATATTTCACTGTGTACTGATGGAAGGCAAGTACTTCAAATAATTTGGCATGCACTGTGTGGCAGTAAAATTTCACAGAACATGCATTATATTTATAAATAGAATATTCTGATGAGAAAGTTTAATAAGCAGTTGAAGAAATGTGATAGTTTTTAAATATATGCTGTTCTTACACAAAAACTGCTGTAATCCCACTTTAGAAGCAAAGAATAGACTATGTTGCTAAATTAAAACTTATATTTTGAAGAACAGAGTTAGAGCCTCTGATATGTGAACCAAATATTCAGAAATAAACTATGTTACCATTTAGATGTATGCTGAAGAAACTGGGTGAAAATCCTATAATTCCTTTTCACCTGCAACAAACTTAAATTTATAAGTAACCATTTTAGTAATATGGAGTGCCCTACAAATTATCTAATTTACTTCAGGCATAACATATAAATTCTATGATATTGTTCTAAATGTTTGAATCTAAAATTATAGACGTTTGAAATAAAATACGAAGTAAAAATGTACAGAAAAAGTAATATCAATGACATAAAAAAATAAAAGGTGCTCATTCACCACGGGCGGTGGCTCATGCCTGTAATCCCAGCACTTTGAGAGGCTGAAGCAGGCAGATCATGAGGTCAAGAGATTGAGACCTTTCTGGCCAACATGGTGAAACCCGTCTCTACTAAAAATACAAAAATTAGCTGGGTGTGGTGACACACTCCTGTAGTCCCAGCTACTCGGGAGGCTAAGGCGGGAGAATCACTTGATTCCAGGAGGCAAAGGTCACAGTGAGCCAAGATTGCAACACAGCACTCTAACCTCCCAACAGAGTGAGACTCCATCTCAAATAATAAAAATAAATAAAAGGTACTCTATTTGATTATCCTCCCCACAGCAAAAAAAAAATTTCAGTCATCCCTAACAAAAATTCCTTCATGAGAGAGCCAGGCATCATGGCTCAGATGTGTAATGACGGCTACACGGTACACTGAGGTTGTAGAATTTCTGCAGGCCAGGATTTCAAGACTAGCCTAGATGATAAGCACAACCACATCTCCAAAGTAAGTGCCTTTAAGAGAGCTTTGAGATCCAGGGAGGGAGTTGTGAAACTTTGCTAAAGCCCAAGATTGAGGAGTGTTCTTTTCAGAGGACAGGCTCTTATTTAGATAGGAAACTACAGGAACCCTGGCCTTGGTTACAGACCAAGAAATGGCCCAACCAACTTGGTCCCACTGAGATTTCTGAAGTTTACTCTGTAACCATCCCAACCTTCTCCTAGTTACAGTCTGGGAGAGGTCCTGCTTTTTCAGAGACCTGGAGGAAGATACCAATTTGCAGCCATGCAGGCAGGCCTACAGATCTTGGTTTTTACTATGCTCCCAGAAGCAGTTCAATGACTCAGTTCCACATCTCTGAGCCACAGTTCATGACCAGTTTTGCCTAAAAAGAAACCCATACAGCAACGTGAGGAAACCCTCTCTGGTATTCAGTGAAAACTATATCCATTCACATCCTGACATAAGGGTAATTATACATGGACCCAATTGCAAAAAACTGCCCTGTGTCTGCCCTACAGATCAAAGTCCTGAAGAATCGTCAGTCTGTCCAAAATTAGAATGGGAATTACAATTACCCAAGGCCTTTGTAACAAGCCATCTAAGGGTGGACCCTAGTGCAGACACAGCAGCCTTGTGACCAAGCTACAATCCCTCCACTACAAACCCAGAGGGACCCATTTGCAGGTAGATCATGAGGTCAAGAGTTCAACACCAGCCTGGCCAAGATGGTGAAACTCTGTCTCTACTAAAAATTCAAAAATTAGTGGGTGTGGTGACAGGCACCTGTAATCCCAGCTACTTGGGAGACTCGGGCAGGAGAATTACTTAAACTCGAGAAGCAGAGGTTACAGTGAGCCAAGTTTATACCACTGCACTCCAGCCTGGGTGAGAGAAGGAAACTCTGTCACAAAAAAAACAAACAAAAAAAAATTGGAATTAAAGAGAAATTAAGTAAAAAGTTGCTGTTTGTGGATTGTATAATCTTATATATATATAAACACACATAGTATATTAAAATTTGTCTGAACTAATAAATACAGTCAATAACTTAACAAAACACAAAATTAACATGCAAGTTATGGTTCCATACACTTAAACTGATAATGATAGAGAAATAAAACAATCTTATTTATAATAGCATTAAAATAATAAATTTCTGAGAACAAATTCAAGAATGTAAAAAATCTTTACAATGAAATATATATCAATGAAAAAAATTTAAAAAGACAAAAATAACTTTAAAAATATTTCATTTTGCCGGGCGCGGTGGCTCAAGCCTGTAATCCCAGCACTTTGGGAGGCCGAGGCGGGTGGATCACGAGGTCAAGAGATCGAGACCATCCTGGTCAACATGGTGAAACCCCGTCTCTACTAAAAATACAAAAAATTAGCTGGGCATGGTGGCACGTGCCTGTAATCCCAGCTACTCAGGAGGCTGAGGCAAGAGAATTGCCTGAACCCAGGAGATGGAGGTTGCGGTGAGCCGAGATCGTGCCATTGCACTCCAGCCTGGGTAACAAGAGCGAGACTCCGTCTCAAAAAAAAAAAAAAAAATTTCATTTTGGCCAGGCACAGTTGCTCACACCTGTAATCCCAGCACTTTGAGAGGCAGAGGTGGACAGATCACGAGGTCACAAGATCGAGACCAGTCTGGACAACATGGTGAAACCTCGTAACTCTACTAAAAATACAAACATTAGCCAGGCATGGTGGCACATGCCTGTAATCCCAGCCACTCAGGAGGCTGAGGCAGGAGAATCATTTGAACTCGGAAAGCGGAGGTTGCAGTGAGCTGAGATCAGGACATTGCACACCAGCCTGGTGACCTAGCAAGACTGTCTTTAAACTTCAAATAGCAAAAGCACTCTTGAGAAAAAAGAACAAAGTAGAGGGACATCATAATTTACAATTTCACACAAACAGAATGGAATGTGCAGAAAAATGCACAAAGAAACCTTTAACTGAACAGAAACCACTACTCTCACACATCTTAGACATGATGTAAAAAGAGAACTAAAAAATAGTTTAACATGGAGTTTTTCAAAATTACGCAGATATTTGTGTCTCCCAAAAAATGAAAAAGCAGACAGATGTACAGTCCCCTTTTGTTAGACGGAATCTCACTCTGTCACCCAGGCTGGAGTGCAGTGGCATGATCTCAATTAACTGAAACCTCCGCCTCCTGAGTTCAAGTGATTCTTCTGCCAGAGCTTCCCAAGCAGCTAGGATTAAAGATGCCCACAACCACATCGGACTAATTTTTGTATTTTTAGTACAGATGGGGTTTCACCATGTTGTCCAGGCTGGTCTCGAACTCCAGACCTTGTAGTCTGCTGGCCTTCACCTCTTAAACTGCTGAGATTACAGGTGTAAGTCACTGTGGCCAGCCTGTACAGTGTCTTACACGCCATGAAGAGGCCTTTGGCTCTCACTGTAAACTTGGAGGAAGATCACCCAAGGAAAAGTAGAATTTTTAGAGAATTTAACAGCATAAGACAGAAGATGCCCCTATGTAAGGGAAAAATTTAAGAAAATACTCAGGCCTCCCAGAAACTATTTGCTTTGCAACACAGCTTCCCAAATCATGTTGTAAGAACTGGCTTTTTGTTTGTTGGACCTTTGGACTGCTCATCCATGTTGTTTGTTGTATTTACTCTCACCTACCTGTGGGTTTGGCCATGATCTCATATCTCTTCATATTCCAGGGCTCTTTTCCGTGCTCCAGACAGGTGATCGGGTTTTGCTTAGAGACAGCAATACCTGCTTTATTAAAAATAAGTAACTTAAATCTTTCTTATAGTCTCTAATTACCAACCTAGTACTGTGCTCAGTAAAAACGATGTGATAGAATATTCTAGAAAATTGATCCCAAAATACTAATTAATGAGAGACATCTCTAAATATTTAGGAAATATTTTAAATTTTCAGATCCTTCATTTTACTACCTGGTACTCATGAATCAAAAATTGATGGTGGTCGGAGGTGCCGGGCAGAAAATTAAAAAAAAAAAAAATATATTGATGGTGACAAATAGATTTTAAGATATGGGCAACCAGGTGCAGTGGCTTACACCTGTAATCCCAGCACTTTGGGAGGCAAAGGAGGGCCAATTACAAGGTCAGGAAATCGAGACCATCCTAGCTAAGCTGATAAAACCCCTTCTCTACTAAAAATACAAAAATTAGCCAGGCGTGGTGGTATGCACCTGTACTGTGGCTACTCAGGAGGCTGAGGCAGGAAAATCACTTGAACCCAGGGGGCGGAGGTTACTGTGAGCCAAGGTCACACAACTACACTCTATTCTGGGTGACAAGAGCAAGACTCTGTCTCCAAAAAAAAAAAAAAAGATATGGGCAATAGTATTTTATGCCACTAAATTTTAGAAATGTGGAGTGTAGATGAAGATAAAATATGTTGAAGAAATTCTTTTCTACACAGACAAATCATCAAGATTTTCTTAAAATAAGGATCAGAAACATTTATACAAAGCATAAATTACAAAATAAAAAAATAAAAAAGACATCAACTTTTAGGGTATATTAAGAATGATGTATTAAAGCTATTCTCACCCAAGAAGACCAGGTTTCTGTAGTTCTCTAACATCACATTTCTATATAAATTCTGCTGAGCAGGGTTCAGGCACTGCCACTCCTCCAGAGAGAATTCTATGGCCACATCCCTAAATGTTAGCGTCTCCTGAAAAACACATATACAGACACACATATATTTACCAAGTGGCCATGGGCAGAATTTATTATTTGAATTAAGGTTAAACAAGAGAGTAAAGAGAATTGATTCTGACTTATAAGAATAACTGAAATTAGTCTGGGTGTGGTGGCTCATGTCTGTAATCCCAGCACTTTGGGAGGTGGATCACGAGGTCAGGAGTTCAAGACCAGCCTGACGAACATGGTGAAAATCCGACTTAACTAAAAATACAAAATCTGGGCATGGTGGCACACACCTGTAATCCCAGCTACTCAGGAGGCTGAGGCAGGAGAATCACTTGAACCCAGGAGGCAGAGGTTGCAGTGACCTGAGATCTTGCCACTGCACTCCAACCTGGGTGATAGAGTAAGACTCTGACTCAAAACACCATCACCAAAAAAAGGGTAACTGAAATTATCCAATAATTTTCAACACAGAAATATTCTCTAATGTATTCTCTTACTCTGAAGAAAGAGAATGGCATAAGATCCAAAACACCAGTGCATATATAATACTTTTCTCTATAATAAAGTACATAGTTAAGGACATAAACACAAATATATACATTTTTCAGTGCTATATTTACAACATAATGAGTTGTGTATATTTTTCTAACAACAAAAAAAGTTGATTTAGAAAGTACCTCTCAAATTTAAATGCGTACAATAACTGGAGATCTTGCGGTGCAGTTTTTGTTTTGTTTTGTTTTCCCCAGAAGACCTGGAATAATGTCTGAGTTTTTAAAATTCTAACAAGGTCACTAGTAATGCCAATGCTTTTGACCCAAGAAGACTATCTTGTCAAACATTCAGTAAGGGAAAGAGACTGTTTTTCCCAATTTTTCTGGCCTGTAAACAAAGGTAAGAGCCTTCATTTTCCAAAGACAGACTTGTATCTCACACACACACACACACACACACACACACACACACACACACACACACACACAAAGAAAGAAATAAAGAAACATCAGAAAAAATGGCAGGTGCCAGATTAAATGTGATGGTTTATGCAAATTAGCTGCATAAATATACTTAATGATAAAGAAAAATAATTGACTCAATAGTGAAAAAAGGTCAGAGCTCTTTTGCTAAGTAAATTATCAACTACACTAGAAAAAAATTTCATGAGGTGCTGATGCACACAGAAGAACACAGTATCACTGCTGAGATATTGCCCCTCAAAAATCATTAAAGATTGAATTTAACCATAAAGAAAAATCAGGTGCAGTGGTTCACGTCTATAATCCTAGCACTTTAGGAGGCCGGGAAGGGTGGATTGCCTCTGTTCAGGAGTTCGAAACCAGCCTAAGGAACATGGTAAAACCCCAACTCTACTTAAAAAAAAAAAAAAAAAGCCAGGCATGCAGGCATGCATCTGTAATCCCTGCTACTCAGGAGGCTGAGACAGGAGAATCACTGGAACCCAAGAAGTAGAGGTTGCAGTGAGCTGAGATTACGCCATTGGACTCCAGCCTGGGCAAGAGAGTGAGACTCCATTAAGAAAGGAAAGAAAGGGAGGGAGGGAGGGAGGGAGGGAGGAAGAGAGAAAGAAAAGAAAAATCAGTTTTATGCAAAGGTCAAGATATTTCCCATGTTCAACAATTTTTTTTTTTTTGGAAATGGAGTTTCCCTCTGTCACCCAGGCTGGAGAGCAGTGTGCAATCTCCACCTCTTAGGTTTAAGCAATTCTCCTGGCTCAGCCTCCTGAGAAGCTGGCATTACAGGCACACACCACCATGCCTGGCTAATTTTTGTATTTTTAGTAGAGATGGGGTTTCACCATGTTGGTCAGACTGGTCTCAAACTCTGGATCTCATGATCTGCCTGCCTCAGCCTCCAAAGTGCTGGGATTACAGATGTGGTCCACTGTACCTGGCCTATAATTTTTAATAATGACTTTAAGTAGACTTTCTTTAGTACTCTAGAGAGCAGGAATCTCTCAATAATATTTTTCAGAACTTCCTGGGTACTAAATGCCATCCCATTTAAACAAGCACTTTCTTAATCCAGTTCTGTATAGTGTTAATAGATAACACAGATGAAACCTCAACATTATATGTTCTCCATCTTTACTAAGAACCTCAGCTTTCCCACAATAGGAATCTTGAGTATCCACATCTTCCCATTTTCAATAGCCACAAAGGAACACTTTTTTTTTTGAGACAGAGTCTTGCTCTGTCACCAGGTGCCAGGCTGGAGTGTAACGGCGCAATCTCGGCTCACTGCAACCTCCACCTCCCGGGTTCAAGCAATTCTCCTGCCTCAGCCTCCTGAGTAGCTGGGACTACAGGCGCATGCCACCACACCCAGCTAATTTTGTGTGTGTTTTTAGTGGAGACGGGGTTTCACCATGTTGACCAGGATGGTCTCAATCTCTTGACCTCATGATTCGCCTGCCTCAGCCTCCCAAAGTGCTGGGATTACAGGCTTGAGCCACCATGCCCGGCCAAAAGGAACACTTTTTATATGGAAGACCATAAATTTATGGTAGGAATTCTGCATTGCATATAAGAAGCCATGATGTAGAGAAGGCTGTCGTACATAGGAAAAAAATATTTTTTAGAGATCAACTATCACAACAATTTTTAAAAGTACTTGAAATAAACTCATTGAGGAGGAGAAACACAAGTAGAGAAGTAAAGGTTTGTGAGTACTAAATGCTTGGCACTCCAGGAGGCAGGGTGGACACAGCTCTTGATCTGAGACATGTTTAGCTGAAAAGCAGCCATTTTCCCTCTTTCTCCCCCTCCTCTGGAAAATATTTTCAGGGAAAATTCTCTGGACAAGTGACAACGGTATCTTGAGAAAATTCCCTTAAAGGCATCAGCACCACCTGCTTACCTGCTAGCCTCACACCCACAGACAGAAGGACCAAGACCAAAAGGTCCACCCATTTCTCTCCTTTAAAACAGAAGAGATTCAGGAACAATTAGCTGAATGGAAATAAAAATATACATTCCTCTTTTCCTGTCTACAGGTGCCCTCCCCTACTACACACACCAGCAATTTCTGCTACAGTAATGGAAATATAAGCCACACTGCCCTGTCTCTACCAAAGTCAAACAGAACAGGCTCTGTGCCCACCTTTTACTGCAAATGTGCCACTTAACTCTCAGGAATGTATTTTGAAGCCCTCATACTTGATTCTGGCCTCACCTTAGAGTCACATGAGGCACTTCATTAAAACAACATGGATGCTTCCACCCAGAACAATAAACAAAACAGGTGGAAAGTGCACAAATAAAGAAATTTCTGTAAATTGACCATGTAATCTGAATGAGAAGAGTAGGCTGATAAGCACTGCCTCTCAAGCTTTGATGAGCTTAAAAATTACCAGGTAATGTTGGTTCTACTTTGTGTAATGTGAATCTACAGGTTTGGAAAAAGTCCGTGAATGGGTGTTTCAAACAAGTCCCCTGCCATGCTGATATTGCTCCCCCTGGGTTCATTATTAGTAGTAGTTAGAGAAAGCAGACACAGCACAGAGTCCCTTACACTCAGCACTCCTGTCACAACACAAATACTTCTGATACAAATGAAGACAACCAGTCTCCATCCTGAAGTTTCATATTCCTTGCTGGCTCTTTAAAGTTTACAGAGGAAACAGTAGCAATTTCTGAATAAGGCTGTATTTGAAAAACAACAGGTACACATGTAATAATGCAATGTTTATTAAGCAGGTACTATCTACTCAAGAGTATGTTACAAAGCACTGTGCTGGGAATAACACATTACGTGATTTCATCCTCATAACACCCTGGAAGTTGATACTAAATGTTCAATAATTTCCAGGATTTAAATAAAGGGTTCAGTATTATTCCTTCATCTGTTTCTCTGTCATTTTAAAAAATAAAATGTACAAAATAAACAGATACGAGGGACATAGAATTAAATGTAGTCAGAGAAATTTACTATGTTTATGTTTTTGTTACTTGTGGAGGAACTACTGGATCTGCAGAAATAAAAAAATAAGTTGCTAAATGAAATGTTTCCATAAGCACTGGTTTTAATACAAAATTAAAAAATGAAGATTCTGGTCGGTCACGGTGGCTCACGCCTGTAATCCCAGCACTTTGGGAGGCCGAGACGGGCAGATCATCTGTGGTCAGGAGTTCCAGATCAGCCTGGCCAGCATGGTGAAACCCTGTCTCTACTAAAAATGCAAAAATTAGCTGGGCATGGTGGCAGGTGCCTTTAACCCCAGATGCTCAGGAGGCTGAGGCAGGAGAATCACTTAAACCCAGGAGGCAGATGTTGCAGTGAGCCGAGATTGCACCATTGCACTTCAGCCTGGGAAACCAGAGTGAAACTCTGCCTCAAAAAAAAAAAAAAAAATTAAGATCCTAAAATACATAGATTGTTTTTCTCATTTACCTGCTTCTGGGTTTGTAAAAATTGTGAGCACTAAGTCTAGAAAGACACAAGGATTCACTAGCCAATTCACTAGCCAAAATTCTAATCTCTTTAAATCAGTTTTGTGAGGCAAGATTCCAGGATGGAGCCAGACCTAAATAAAGCCTTCAAAAAGGTGAATCTGGCCATGTGCGGTGGCTGTCTATAATCCCAGCACTTTGGGAGGCTGAGGTGTGTGGGTTACCTGAGGTCAAGAGTTCAAGACCAGTCTGACCAACATGGTGAAAGCCCGTCTCTACTAAAAATATAAAAATTAGATGGGCATGGTGGCAGGCACCTGTAATCTCACTACTTGGGATGCTGAGGCAGGAATATTGCTTGAACCTGGGAGACAGAGGTTGCAGTGAGCCAAGAATGTGCCACTGCACTCCAGCCTGGGGAACAAGAAAAAGACTGTCTCAAATAAAATAAAATAAAATAAAAAAGGGGCCGGTGAATCTGAATAGACCTGGGTTAGGTAGTGGACCTTATGTAGAATTCTGTTCTCTATGGCACTGGGGTATTTCCAGTTCTGTTTTCCTAAGCTTACCAAAAAGAAACTAAAATCCCAGAGTTTATGTAACTTTGACCTAT